ACAAAATTCGTGCAGCTGTAAATATTATATGTATATCGTGTATGGCTATATATGATCGATATAAATTCTTATTGTGTTTGGTGTGGTGTAGCGCGAATATCTTCTCCCCCGAGGTCTTAGAAAACGGAACTTCGTCCGATAGTAACTGAAGCACTCCCCCTCCTTCCCCGTAATCTCTTCAGCGAGTCGAAGAACCTCTCAAGAACGTCCCTGTAGTACGATTTAGAGAATGGATTCCAGATCGCCGCGACTGCAACTGCAACCCGCTGTTACGGATATCGCCCCGGATATAAGGGATGAATTGAAAAGCGATTTACTGAGTATATCTGCTTGTAAAGCGCATCTGGAATTTATAGTCAATTGTGTAGCAGACATGAGAGGGAACAATAGATATTTCACGAATACAGTACTTCAGATTTACGGTTCTACAATCGATGTTAAAAGTTCAGCGTCGAAAACATTTGAAGATCCAAATATCCAGCATTTCGTGGGAATCTTGAGATTAAAAGGTTCAATATTCCATTTGATACGATCCGGACATTCAAGTATTTTAATATCAAAAGTTCGCAGAATATCACTGGCTTGTTGGTTGGGAACCTTTAATAATGGAAAACGCGAAAGTCTCACGAAGGTTCGAGAACTTATTGGAAGTTAATTAACGCTTTAATATTTTACTTAGAGGTTTCGTAACGCGAATTTTCTTAATTCACTTGCTAAGCCGATTAGCAATGGTCCGGAAAAAACGAACGATCTCCGCCCTCTAGGCGGAGAAAGAAAAAGGAATGTAGAGAATTATGTGTTGTTAATATCCAGGAGAGCATGTCGTAAAATATCTAATTCTTACAGTCTACAAATATCCGTGCGGAAATATCGGAAATGTGTCTTTGATTCAGTATTACATCGAGGAAATTGGATTTTTCGCAAATCCATGATAGAATTGAAAATTAATTTCCTGATTAAAATTAATCCGACACATTCTCGCCGTTTTTCCGATACTTATCACGAGGTTAGGATAAGAACCTGCAGTTTTTTGTACGGCGTATTCCGCGTTAGTATGAGAAATTAATTTTCTCATTAATTAGTTCAACGTTTCTTGCCATTTTCCCAGATTTATCGTTGCGAAAATGATGACCCTGCATTTTCTCTTTTTTATATGCTATATGACAGTCTGTCCGTGATCAGCTATTATCGATGTGTCTATATTTGGCATGTTGATAGGTCCATTTTACAATTCAATTATAAGTTGAAATTGACCCGTTGATGAAAACTGGTAGACAATAGGCAATATCTATGTACAATACGTGATAATCCATTTGCAAAACATTTGATGGGTGTCGGGAATATAGCGTTGCTTGCTCATGCATATTCCGTGACACTGATGCGTAATAAACACGTGTCTGTCTGGCTACTAAAAATTCCCAACACTATGGCGTTGCAGTGTATTCCACGGAAAATATTTGTACTTGCGTTCGTGCAATAAATGATTCGGGTAGTCAACAGTTTCGCTGTTGAAATTGTCCTCCGCATCGCTCTCTGATCATGTTTAAATTGTGAAAAAAAAACATGCAATTTTTACATCGTTGATATTTCCTTATGTATATTTAAAGTTTATTTAAAATTTATTTAAAGTATATTAACATCTCTTTAATAGGATGCCTAATTGAGTAGTCAAATTATTAAATTGCTTGTCAATTTAATTTGTTGATATTACTATAGTAATTTAATTGCGTTTATAAGTCGAAAAAATCAATTCAGCGCGCAATTCAAATAACTACATTATATTTGATATATAAATTCACATGCAAATTATTTAAGTATCTAAAATCCAGCTTCGACTGTTATAGGCTTTAAACTCTTATTTATTCACATATATGATTTTCTAATCGTTTATTATTCCTTGTGTATGTTTTAAATACAATATCAACGATATTTATTTTAATAATATTTAGTTTAATAACGAACTTTTGTATTGAGTGCCAACGTGGCTAATACTATGGAAAAAGGAAAGAAAAAAGATGCTTGCCATTCTCCTCGACTTTCAAAAAAATCTTAGAAAGAGTCTCTGGTGGTCTGCTAGTCGTGGATAAAACTTCGAGACAGATGCAAACACGTATCGTCTCGCGAAGGGAATACACGTGAAGATCTGCGACGGGTGGGATTCGAGAGACCAGTTCCGTCCGCAAAGTCTGAGCTTCAGACAAGCTAGCTCTTAACTCGAGCCTGAAACCTGAGCTACGTCGATAGTGGAAAGGAAAGTGGTTGAGGTGTCGCATTTCGGTCGCTCGAATGTTTCGAGACGGAGCTGGAGGTCGAAAAAAGTCAATCGATTGGCGGTCGGAAGAAACATTTGATAATAAACAGATAATAAAAAAATTTGTTGAAAATTAATTTTCTTATGACTGACTTCACTAACATCAAAATTCAGCGAAAACATATTTTATTATTCGATGATTTTTAAATTGGGAAGCCAGTCAAGTCGATCGCAGGAAATTTCGTAAAGTTGCTAAACTTGAAAGAGGCATAACTCCTAATTAAAAAATCGCAATTTATTTCGCATTAATACTTTGTACTCTCTGTTTGGACATAACATTTACGCAACGCATAATAAATTTATCGGATAAATCATTTCTTTTTCGAAATATTTCATGAATATCGCAAAGCAATGCAATAAGATAACAAGATATTTAACATAAATAATTCAAAAATATTTAACATGAAAAACTATGCCTTGGCATTGCTATCTCTTTAATCTTTAACTAGGTGGTCTAAAGATACATTAATAAGTCCAAAGCTTTTATTTTTATAATTATATTTTTTACTGATATTTCACGTCATAGTTCAACATACATTAGTTATATCTTTATGACAGAAGAATGTGGAAATAATAAACTTTAAAACTTTTCGACATCTGGGAAATACTTTTTATTGTATTTTCCTTTTTCAGAGCAAGAAGTTTGTAAGAAAACTATGCCTGAGGTGCTTTGCTACTCCACCTACCTACTCACTTAAAGGTTAATATCCAAGTAACACGCAGTGCCACAGTAAATAAATTAAATTAAATTGACATAAAATTTAGTGAAACTTTTTTATCAAGTTTCTCAGTCAAGACGTCATCTTGACAATTAAGTGTTACTTGGGAATATGCTTATGAATGTTACAATATATTTGTTTTAGCAGCCAAGTTTTTTATGTTACAATATATTTTTAAATCTTGGATTAAAATAAAAGAGATATTATCACTTGGATTGAAATATTCTTCAATTGGAGAATATATATCACTTGGGTTGATTTCGTTGACGTCGTGCGCATCGCAGAGCAATGATCATAATGAAGTAAGATGCGGACAAGAGAGAATTGCACGGCTGCAGTGCGAGTGTGCTTTGGTGCAGCATGGAAATACCGGTGTAACAGGATTCTCGTGGACCGCAAGATCTCGCGCAAAGACTCTTTTCTCTCTTTCTTTTTCTTTTTCTTCTCTCTTCTTTCGGCCGAGGCCAGTGCAAGGTCGAACTCTCACCATATCGCCTCACACGTGCGGACTTGCATGCATTTAAGAAAGCACGATGCGATCGAAACGAAATATCCATTTACCGTCGAATAATCGGTGCTGTGTTTGCTTTTGTTTGCTTACATTGCTCTATAGTGGAGATCGTTAAGTCGCCGCTCTCTCGTTAACTTGTCTTCGATTTAATAACGCAAGGAGACATAAATAATATCCAACAGGAACAATATCTTTCAACGAGAATTGCAGATGTTGAATAGTTAACAGTTGAGTTTTTCTCATTATTATGCATTTTGCATTACATTACTTAATAATAGACTACTGCAACAGTGGATTAACCTAGAGATTTCTTAGTAACAGATTAAATACTTATATAAACCTTCTTTAGACAACCTTTGATTTAT